CCGCCCCCTCAGGGAAGCGCCCGCAGCCGTCCTGAGGGGAGGAGAGGGGCACCCGCCGTCCCCCACCCCGCCTAATGGCAACACCGGCATCGCCGCTGGGCAGCCGGGGAGAGAAAAAGCACCTCAGCAGCAGCGTTACATGCAGACAGGACTGACCAACAACAACAACAACAACCAAAAAGAATGATACTTTTATTTTCCACAGATTTTTAAAGATACTTTGCTACATAGTTTATGTATTTTCTATCAGACTATACAGGTTCGTCTTCATGGAGTCCGACGTTGTACAATTGTAAAGTGATATGTTTGGTAGTGTATCTATAACGTTTTAAAAAGTTTAGAGTTTTTCTTTTTTTTATTTATTTTTGGAATGTACAGTATATGAGGTAAAATTAAGATTACATTAAAAACTGTCTTCAATGCAGTAATACGCACTGAGGCTCAAATGGCAAATACACTATTAAATGACTATCAAAAATAGGAGCTCATTTGAATTTTACTATGAAAAACATAAGTCACTGCAGATTAACTGTAGTAACAAATCTTACCGTTTTAGACATTCAACCATAAGAAATCTCTGGGCTGTTACACGCAACCTCATTTGCACTGCCAAACATGGCACTTTTAAGAAGGTTCTAGAAAACATCAGTTATCGCGGTATCCTGCAGGAAGGTATCAGCCTATACGTACAAATGACAAATTAGAAATAAAATGTAAACATACAGTACATTTTAAAGACAGATCGTTCTCGCCACGTGGAGGCCAAGTTCTTTGCCATTTCTTTTTTTTTTTTTTTTTAAATGAAACTCAGCAACATTATTCTACAGCACAGATCATTGGACGTATAAACAATTACAATACATGCCCGTTCTAATATAAGAGAAATTCTTCAGAGATCTTCAAAGCACAAGACAGAGGTTCCTTTTTTTATTATTATTAAGACCGACAGAAGTGTTTAATACCATTAAAAATGCTAAACTGAACACAACTAGAAGTCATTAATGATCCACTATCTTGTAACTCAAATAAATTAAAAATAGCTAATTACAAAGTGTATAACAAATAACGTAAGTGTGATGAGACAAGGATTTTTTTTTTTTTTTTTTTAAAGATAGTTTCACTACAAGCTTTGTGTCACTGGCAATCATTGACATCTAGCATGATGTTCAATGGGATACTTGATAAAATTCAGTATGGTCATTCAAGAACTCACAAATGCAAGCTCACAAAACATTGATGAGTTATGCAATTGCAAAGTGCTCTAATGCAACATTAACTACATGCAATCAACAATTTGGTACAGTATCCAAAGAGACATTACATTAAACATTAGGATCTCAAGAAAAAAGCAGCTTTAAGTTTTCTGGTGCAAATTACTACACTTCGTCTTCTGATTTGGTGCCCCAAAGAAAGACAGAAAGAAAACGAAAAAAAGGCAGTGCTTGATTCTGGTGGATATGGCAAGTGAATGCTGGGGAAACAGCAAAAATTCAGTAATGAATTTTATCTCAAAAATCTATTAACTAGCCAAAATCAGAGGGCACAGACATCTGTATAAACTGCATCCAATCAAAGGTCAACTTCAGAAAACGTGTTTTTCAATTTAAATAGTAAGTCTAAGAAGTTCTCTCACACTCTCCCTTCTATATTCATAAGAAGTAAAAGAGGTTTTTTTGTAAGTAAACATCAAATCCTGGGGGTAAGATAAACCACTTGTGCCATCCCCTTGTAGTCTTTCAAAAACATCTACTTGCAGTGAAGAACTCCACATTTATCAGGTAAGAAGCTTCCTTCGCGCATACTCTTCCATCCAGCTTATTATTTGCTGCCTGAGAAAAGCCCCTTCTGTTTTTCAGCATAAATCCTGCTTCCCAAATAATTAAGACAAATGAGGAGGTAGAAATACAGCGCTAAATTGCTTTCACAGCATCAGATTAATATTGTATACAGCACAAGTTTGTTAGTGTAAGTTTTAAATGCGATCTACACATTCTTCCCTGTTATGGTAGCAACCCTTAAAAGTGTGGGCCAGGAAACCATTTTTACACTCGTCTTTACTGGTCAAACCCTTTTCATTAAACACTACTTGCCTGCCCCATATAGTTTGTACTGCAAGAAGGCATATTAAAGAAAAGATTGTATTTCTGTGGCTTGCGTTCTAGTAACATGTGTCAGCCTATACCTACCAGTAAGCATTTTAAAGTGGCTGAAAAGGTTTGCATCAGTCCCAATGCCGGTGCTAAATGCCTGTTTTTGTAAAAGCAAGAGAACAGAATTACTTTTAGATTATGAGAAAGGAAAATGTAATGGGCAGCATTCTAAAATAAATCTCCTTTCTTCACTTTATTACGAAGTACTGAATGATAACAGCAATCAGAATGGAAAAGATAGCAAAAAGTGCAAGAATGACAGCAGCACACACTTGGTCGCTCTGTGACCATTGTGTCCTTGTGGTTTGCACAGTGTCCTTGTTGGTGCTTGACGGTGGTTCAGTCCTCTGAGAGATGAATAGCACTGGTGCACTGTAGGGGCCTATCAGGTCCTGATGACCTACTGTCTCTTGGCACTGTCGAATGGCACATGCGCGGAAACGGTATTCACAGTTCAGCTGCAGGCCTGTGTATCGGAATGACCAGTCCGGACCCTTATAAATCTGGCAATAAAGAAAAAAAAAAGATACATCAAGTAAAAACGTCCTACATACACATATATATCTCAGTATGGTTTTGTTTATGGTGAAGGTAACTGTAAAAAGGATGACTCCTCACCAGTGTTTTCACCCATGCAAAGAAAAATGGACAAAAAGCTCACAAATACAATTTAAATGCCAGATAAAGTCTCCAGTCCTTTTGGTGAAACATTGGAAAAGAACTGCAAGTGCTTTTACGGCATGATGAGTACACGCCAAATAAACTGTCAGAAGCCCCAGCGTTAAGGTGTTTTAGTGACCACTTACAATGTAAACACTACGCCATGGGATGTAATACACAATATCGTATCACAGGATTTTAGGTAATTAACTGTATCAAGCTACTTCATTAAGTCTAACCCAATCCAACACACTTTGTTGTAGTTAAGATATCGTGTGTTTAAAATATTATAATTTATCCCAATAAACATTGTATCATCAGGAAAACCGCAAGGAGTCCTCTCTGTGATTCTTAATTTCATCAGATCCCACGACACAGATGACTTATTAGGATGTTCTCCAAGGGTGTCTCAGCTGGCTGGTTAACGTGAGTTCACAACTCTTCAGCACGGAGTGCCTAATCCAGTGAAATCTAAATGCTGGTTTCTCAAATTAATTAATTTGCAGCTATGTAAAGGTGCTGCAAAAGCCAAGGAAATCCCATGCGGGTGCAATTTTCTGTTTATAGGTATATCAATAGGTACTGAGCCATTACGTGGGTAGCACAGTACAATTTGATTTCTCAAAAATTTTGGGGTATTTATAAGGTTGCTTCCTAACCCCTTTAAGAGCTTGACTGATGTATATACCTCAAACAGCAGATCACTAACTTATTTTGTCTGAAGCATGTAGGGAACAACGACATGAGCAACTTGGCTGATGGATCAGGGAGCAGGAGGAGAGGAGAGTGAAGTTTTGGCAGGGAAATGGTAGTAAACAGCTTGGAGTGGACTTCCAGGCAGTTTATTTTTTCTCCATGTCAAAGAAAATTGTCACCATCATGTCTAAGTATCTTAAAGGCCGTTTCCACGGTGTTTACTTCTTGACTGTTCCAATTTTAATTTTTGCAAACTAGTCTTCTCATTTTATTTTAATTTACTGCACTAAACTGTTCTGGAGAGGCAAAAGGAATTACAACCTCAGTCTACTTTGTTATTTCCAGGCTTAAAGCGTAAACTTTATTTTCTTGTTCAGCTTATTTGGCAATGCACGTTGCTAATCAAAGCGTGATTTGACTCCGTGTCTAGAAGCAACACTGACCATACCTTACTTAAACACTTAAAGTTGCATTTACAATTTTCAAGTTACAACAAAGAATATTCACATGGCAAGATAACAAACACCTTGGATTATGGTTCATCTTTTACTGAAAAACTTAACAAATGGACATAACAAACACAGCACTACACTAAAAGTTATGAATTATGAAAATATTAAGGCCTATCATCTACCAAAGCACGTGCAAAACTTATTTAATACTGACCTATAATAAAATTATAATATACCAGAATTAATTGTGATTCCTTTCTGGAAGGAAACCTGCTTGCTTAATAGCGTGAAACAGAGTTTCCAAGCCTAATTTCATGTCAATTATCAGGCAGCTTATAGGGAAGCAAAATTAGCACTGCACATCCTCTTTTAAATGCAGACTAATTTGTAGCTTAGTGTTTCGAACTGCATCTTTGCATAATCAAACCTGAAATTAAAACACACTCCCAACTGCTCAACCCTTGTAGTTACAAGCATGCCCCACTACTGAAATGGTCCTATGGTAAAAACCTAATCACTGAATTATATTTAAAAACTTTACTGAACGTCTACATTGCGTAAGTAGGGGGTCTTTCCTATCTGCAGTTCTCTGTACAGAAGTATTACTTTGACAACATCAAAGCTTTTATAATACTGTTTACTGCCTTCAAACAGCTCTTAGTACAAAGAGAACCCGTTGTTCTTTTTCTCGTCAGTCTCAATTCGGTACCATTGGGTGGATG